CCATTCTTTTTCTTTTTCTTTTTCTTTTTCAATTCAAACTTAAAATGAATATGTGGTATTGTGGTTGCTAGTATTAAAATGCTCTCCCACTGCCACCTTGAACACTTGTCTGGCCTTGATCACCAGAATTTGGTCCAGCTTTGAATCATCCCTTATTGACCTTCTCCGTGTTGATTATAAAAGCTCTTCTGAATTCATTTCAAGAAATGGGGAGGCAATGGCCTAGTGGTATTATCGCTGGACTGTTAATCCAGAGGCCCAGATAACGTTCTGGGGACCCGGGTTTGAATCTGCCATAGCAGGATGGTAGAATTTGAATTCAATTTATATAAAAAAAAAAATCTGGAATTAAGAATCTAATGATGACCAAGAATCCATTGTGGATTGTCGGAAAAACTGATCTGGTTCACTGCTGTCCTTTAGGGAAGGAAGCTGCCATCCTTATCTGGTTTGGTTTACATGTGATTCCAGATCCATAGCAATGTGGTTGATTCTTAACTGCCCTCTGGGCAATTAGGGATGACAATGAATGCTGCTCAGCCAGCGATGCCCTCATCCTGTGAATGAATAAAAAACAAAGTGCCCACTGTAAACTCTTCACGCTATGACTATTCCAATTAATGTTGGGGAAGTTGAAATCCCTAATTATCCTATTATTGTTTTTACATAGCTCAGAGAATTACGTATCTGTTCCTCTGTTGCCTGCTGACTTTGTTTGTGTGGGGGCTGTAACACTTTTCAAGCAGTGTAATTGACTCCTTTTTATTCCTAAATTATACCCACAAAGCCTCATTTGAAGATCCTTCCAAGATATTGTTCCCTCCCTACGGCAGTAGCTGACTTATTATTAGTGTGACACCACCTCATTTACATCCTCCCCTGTCCTGCTTGAAAATCCTATACCCTGAAACGTTGAGTCACCAGCCCTTCTACCTCAACCATGTCTGTGTGATGGCAGCACCACCATAATTCCATGTCCTTAACTCATCTGTTTCCTATAATATCCCTAGCATTAAAGTTAAGGCCATCCAGCCCCACTTTACTCCCATGAAACCCAGCATGGCTGAACTCCCTCTGTCCTCGTTCCTTTACTCAAGTAAGCTGTGTTCCTGTTGTATTAGGAATAAACTTTATGTAATCCATTCAACGTGACATTGTTGCAGCTGCTTCTGATGCAAAATTGAGCGGATGTCAAGCCCAGAAGGTAGGACTCCCCAAAAGGTAGGTTTTAAGGAATGTCTTGGAAGTGGGAAGGTTGAAAGAATGAAATGTGGAGTTTATGTAAATGCCTCAAAGTCTGTTACAGCCAATGAATGACTTTTGAAATTGACTTATAAGCAGGCAATTTGTAGGCAGCATGTTCTCTTCACAACATTGTTATAATGTTCAGGTAATTTATAGTATATCTGGAAACATGCAAAGCAAGTAATTACTTAAAGCATTAGAATAATTTTGGCTTGTTAAAGTCATGAAGCTATAGTGAGTATGTGATAATACAAGCTGTATGTGGCTATTGTAATGTTTGTTATATCTACCTCTTGTAACTTGCACTTGTAGAGTGTTTTTATGAAGTAGTTCAGTTGTGGTCCACATGAAGGTTTTCAGGCAGCTGTCAGCAGACCTACTAATGGGATGGGGGGGTTGGAGATAGAGGGTTGTGGTTTGAGAAACGGCGAAGATCAATGTGATTTTAAATAGAAGCCTGCATTTTGGTCATGTTTTTCTCTTGAAGTTGATTGCTTGTGAATGGAGGGCCGACCGTAACAGCATGTAGCACTTTGTTACATCGTTCAAGCAGTGTTAGTTAGTGCTATGTCCTTATCAATTTAAATCTGAAGGTTAAGAGTTGATCCCACTCTGGAGACTTGTATAACAAAGGTGTACAGCTTATGCTATCATTTGGAATTTAGATTTTCAAAATGGAGACAGCTGAATTTTGGTTTCAGTTCTGTGAAGGTTAAATCTTTCTTTGAGGTCAGAAAGTAATTTTGGAAAAGTGACTTGAAATACATCACTTTCTGAAAACATGTGACTCTGTGCCTAGTCATATACCTGTGGTGTTTATTGATGAAGTGTTTTACGTTGTTGAGTTC